ATGCCAGCAGCAGAAACACCGACTATAAAATCTTTATATGAAGTGAAGAATGTGCAATTTGCTAGACAGGGCGCAGGGGGGTTTACTTGATATAATGATTAAATGTAAAGATGAATCCAATTTGTGATGATCCAATCTATGTGCTCTCATCTAATGGTTTACTGAGGGCTAATACTTCCCTTCAGGGTGGTGCCAGCTTATCAAATGTACACGAAAGTATACTGATTTGGTTCCATTTGCCTTTATTCACTGAGCTGATTTTTTACTTTTTAACATTCTGATGGACCAGCTTTTAACATTTATTTGTTTAATAAGCAGACCATTAGGTTCCGTAGGCACTATTAGGTTCCTCGGGCCTGCCTTAACTACTCTATAGTGCTTGAGTTTAACCACAATATATAAGGAATACCTGTAAAATATTTACATAACACAGTAACAAAATAACATAACAAATAACAGAACATTTACATAACAATCAGAGGCTTGGGAAAGTCATTATATAATGAGCTTGATTAAAAAAACGTAAAGTAATATTTGCAACAGAAAAAGACAGTATATATAATTTATATTTCAAATATTCAACAAATACAGTTCTAAGTATCTACTTTCCTTGCTCAAATTAACAATGCAAGAAATCTGGAGGAAAACACAAACTCAAGACACCTGAGAGCTGCGGCACCTACCACTCTCACCCCGGGCCAGCGTCAACAAGCCGGTGTGGACGCTAGCGTAGGAATGGGGAGTCTCTACAGCCCAGCCCCCCCCCGACCCCCAACACCTCCCCACCCCCGAAACAAACGCAAAGATTTCTACCCCTCGACTAGTGTTTAAACTTACCTTCCATGCATTCATTCACAGATTCGTAGTCAGCGTAAGTTCTGCCTTCTGGCCTCTTGGTAGGCTGTACCAGCAAAATGGTGTGAGACTGTGGAAAGAAAAGTGATTTCAATATAAGTTTCCAACTCATATTTGAGAAATTCATAGTATGAGATAGAATCTCCATTCATGACAAATGATCACTGGTTATTAAAACACTATTAATCAGGGTGCTCCTTCTACAATACTTATGCCTTTGCCCAAGTGTAGCACCAGAAGCTGGATTACCTTCTGTAGGGTCTCTCTTAGCCTCCCAGTCCTTAATGAGTGCTTTCTCAAACTTTTATTGCACGTACTGGCTGCAAGTACTCAGCATAAGCTACCCTGTACTGTTTTTTCTCTTTCGCACCTATCTTCCTAGCCAGATTATAAACCTGCTTAGGTGTTCTATCTCCATTGGTCACTTTCTAGCTCTAACCCTATTAAGTCCCTAATAAAAACAGATATGGGCTGATGAAAGGAGAGAAAAAGGAAAACACTATAATGACTGCAAGCACTGCATCAATCTATGTTCTTTTTCTAACTTTAGCACAACAGTGAAGTCACATCTTATCCAGGGATTAGACTCAAACATTAAGGCGTAACATAAATTGGCAATATAAAATTAGTATATATAGTTAACATTACCCTAGAAAATCCATTAAATTATTCACCTAGTAGATGACTCACCTTAAGGGGCTATGTATTTTTAAACTCTGGAATCACACAAAATAGCTAGAGGATCACATTGTAAGAGATGTGAATAGGCCTAAAGAACAGCAGATAGACTTTTATCTTCCATCTCACCCTCAATGGGGAGCATGTTTTTGTTAGTGGGTCTATTTTAGGGTTTCTCAACCTTGGCACTACTACATTTGGGGCTGGAAGGTTCCTTGTTGCAGAGGCTGTCCTGTGCATTGCAGGATGTTCAGCAGTATCCCTGGTCTATTCCCACTAAATACCAGTAGTACCTGCACTTCCACCCTCTCCTGGCCAAGCTGTGACCACCAAAAATGCCCCCAGACACTGGTCTGTTGAGGGTACAACCCCTTCCAATTTTTTGCCAAGTGTGTAAGACTTATTAAATAAATTCAAGTATGATGTAACCTCACTGTAAACCCAATCCTAAATCAAACTATTCATATTTTTCTCTTCTCTTCTGCTGTACTATTATTTTTGGGTAAAAAACAAACAAACAAAATCTCCTAATTACAGGAACCAAACTGTTTTGAAATGATCAGAATTTTTAACCACCAACAATCTGCAACTGAAGTAGCTGATGCCTGGACTTTCTGAATAATTACCCCCAAAACAGTACTTTGAACACAATATGAAAAACAAAAGAATTTATGGTACTCCTCCCTCCCCATCAAAAATGGAGTCATTCTGATTAAAAGTTTGAGGATTTGAGATAAAACAAAACTTGATGACTAGAGATGAAAACTAATTCTCACCTATAATGACCTGAACACAATCAAGGCCTTTCTTAAATAGTGAGTAAAAGCTAAAGAAAGCAGCATATTAGATTACATGTTATTTATAAGTTTTTATAAGTCACCAGTAGTTTCAATAGGTCATATGTTGAGAAGAAAATTAATTTATAAACTACATTAGCATTCCTACAAAAGGGCCTGCCCCATACACTAGCCATACCAGTTGCTACTACATTTTGTTCTTATTCTAATGCAAAATAAAGGATTAAGTCACTTAAAAGAGTAAAGATATGGGAATGAATATACAGTATGCTTTTTATATCTACCCTTAAAGTGAACCTGAGCGAAGTTTACTGTTTTCAGTACTTACTGCCCAAAGACAAGGCTTAAAAATTAAGAACAAGAAATGACTAAATTTACAGAACTGTAGTCAAAATGCTTATTTTTTTAAGTGACAGTGCCTTTCTGTCACCAGTTTAAGATCATAATACCTCTCAAACCAATTTTGGTCACTTTCTTCTTATTGGAGCCATTTTTGGAACCCTTTCGTTTTACTAAAAATCCAAATATATTTGCCCTATCAATTTTTTCCTTCTTCTGGACGGATTTGGTCCTGGCCCTCCTTACGGTACTCTTTCTCAGGGGAATGACCAGTTCCATATATATATATATATATATATATATATATATATATATGTATACACACACACAGACACACACATACAAAACATAAGTACATATAGGCAAACATATATATATTTATATTTGCCACAACAGGGAGATAACACTGTGAAACCTAAATCAGAAAAATAAAATTTATGCAGGATTACCTTAATAAAATCCTTATTCTCTCTGATTACCAAGTGGCTTTGATTCACTCTAATGAATAGTTAATCTGGCTTTGTTAACTTTTTTAAAGTCTCACAAACATGAACCCTAAGAATAGTCATTCTACTGTTGCAGAAATACTACAGTACATAACACTGGCTCTTTAGCTTCAAGTGCTTCTCCCCAACTACCAAAAAGAAAAAAAAAAAAAGAAATCGAAGCTGGTATCTTCAGTAAAGCAAAAGTACTTAAGACTTTTGAACCAATAATTGTTCCCTTTAAATACAAATTCCAATTTTTAATTCTACTTGAAATAAGGAATTATCACTGATATTTGTTCAACGAGAATGGGTTGTTGATATTAACTGCTGTCATTTTCCCAGATTTTAATCTAAGCATTTTAATACAATACCAAATAGTGACATAAAAGGCAGAGAAGGAAGGAAACTCAGAGATGAAACGACTTGCCCAAGTTATAACAAAACAGGAACTGGAAACCCAGTCTTCTAATTCCTAGTCCTCTTTGGGAGATTATGTTGGGTCAAACATTGAAATTCAGAAAAGGACAACCTGAAAAAGTTCCTTGTTAACATTAGCTGCATAATCTGTTAATAACTGCAGCAACCAGAAAACGAAAATTGAAGTGTGGAAGTAACCATGACTCCTCAGAATCCCTGTAAGCGTCTCCTTTTTGCGGATTACAAAATACACACACACAAGCAAAAAACAAAAAACCACAAACAACCCTTCCCACCCACCCAACCCGGTCAGATTCTAAGGAACCTGGACCTTCAGCTGAACCTATCTTTTCTGCCTCCAGCCCCAAGAGAATATAAATAACGATAAGCATAGGATTAAGGGCTGAAAAAACAAAAAAATAACCCCACCAAACCAGGCCTCTGGAGGTCTTAGAGAAGAGGAAAAATATTACATATTTTTCCAAAAAAGCAGAGCACAGAAAAACAAAAGGGAATAGCTGAGAGAGCACGCTACAAAGCAAAGACGACCCCTCCTGGCCCACACGCTGGGTGCAGCAGACTCAATCTGTCAGCTTTGGGACAGGATTGTCAGACATCCCTCGGCCATTGTTCCCACAGGAAGCTAGAGAGTTTGGAGGGAAAGGGTACCCTCCCCATGCCTGCCTCTACCAAGCAGCAATCGGGAGAAAGCGCATCCTCCGCACCGCACGCCTTGCCCGAGCCAGCCGGCGGGCGCGCAACCGCAGGGCGGACCCTGGCTCCGGGGCCTACCGCCAGGCTCAGCGTCTCCGCGGCGGGAAGGGGAAGGGTCGACCCACACGCCGGAGGGCCGAGCAGCTGCATACTCGCGCTGGACTGGGTGGGGAGAAGAGGTAGGGGCTGGGGTCACCCTGGAGGCTGGGGGCTCGGGGAGCCGGTTAGGCCTTTCTCACCATCGCGCCAAACTCTCGCTGCCGCCGCCGCCGCCGCCGCCGCTGCCGACTCCGCCGCCGATTCCGCTGCCGCACACGAGTTTAGCCGCAATGTATCCAACAGCCAATCCCCGCGAGAGGAGCCGCCGGAAGTCGTCAGAAGGACACCGCGAAAGAACCTTTCGGACCATAGAGACTAACATATTTCCGGCAGCTAGAGCAGATACTGACTCTGTTTCAGCCATCTTGGAAAAGGCGACGAGACCCACGGAGAATGTATCGGAACTTGAAAAAGAATCTTTTTTTTTTCAAGACGCTGTCTTCCGTACTCTCGTTATTATGCATGCGGCTAAATTGATCACTGGTATAGAGAGTGATACAAGTCATCTTTCAATGGCCCCACGCAAAAATGGCGGCAGTATAAGAATCCCGGGGCATAGGTCAGTTGTAACCCGGAAGTACCCTTCTAAAGGAGGGGGTGGTAAGGCAATCCGGAAGTGGAGTAATGAAGAGGTGCCACTTGGCGGCCATGGCAGCTGTAGTATCGGTGGCTCCGGGTCAAGGCCCAGCGGAGTGGAGGAACATGGGCAGCACTGGGTATAGGGCAGAGACAGCTTTGTATCAGCTTCGCTACTGAACCCCTAAGGCCCATCGTTAGAAATCTGCAGGACTCCTTTCCTCATTCTAGACTCGGAAGAGAGTTTGCCGGGATTGGTGGGCTGGTCCCAGACCAGCCTGAGGATCACAGGCGGGGCGGCCCCGGGGAGATAGGGCCGCTGGAAGAACGAACGAGTTCGCTTGGGTTTTCGTGCTTTTCTGCTGCCGTCTGGAACGCTGTTCGTGGAGGAAGTAGGCCCATTGTGCTACCCTTATTCCGACGACTGAAGAAATCGTTCACTCTTATATTTCCCATTGACTTTTCTCATCTGTTAACCCACGGGAATCCAGTGACTGGTATCGGAAAATTTACGGGCAGGGACCTAAAATTGCTGAAAGTTCTCTCTGGTGCTAGTATTAGCAAAAAGGGGCTGTTTCCAGGTACGTTCAAGAGAAAAGTGCCTCGTGAACACATCTGCCGGTGGGGAGGACCAAAGAACTGAAAGTCCACTTGTTATCTTTGAACAACCACACGCGTTTAAGAACCTAAGCACCCTTCGAAGCCTCGAGAATTTGTAGGCTGGTGGTGGGTGAATAAAGGAGGGCAGAATGGATGATTTCATCTCCATTAGTCTGCTGTCTCTGGCTATGTTGGTGGGATGTTACGTGGCTGGAATCATTCCTTTGGCTGTTAATTTCTCGGAGGTAAGAAGTTCTCAATTTTCTGTTAGCTGTCAGGGTGGCAGCTAGGAAGTAGTGACAGTTGTAAAGGGAAGCTGCTTCCCCAGTTAATATCAGAGTTAAAGGTCTTATTAAGGAAGACTATCTTTTCGAAAGATGCATAACATGTAATAATAGAAACAAACCTCCTCTTCATCACCACAGTTCATAACGGGGGTGGGTGGATCCACTGAAGATTCTGGAATACTCTGAACTCGCTGAAATTGCATACCAAAATTTGGGACTGTGCATTTTACGGGAGAGAGGCACCATAATGTTCTTTTGATACCCAGAAGTTCCAAAGAATCAAGATTCTAGATTGCAATCAAAATATAAATGGAGAATGTTGTTTGTCCATATGAGTTGAAATCAATATAACTTCTCTTTTTGAGAAAATCAAGCATAGCTTTTTGGGGAAAGGTATTTGTTTGGATACCTGTAATAAGAATGAAGTAAGAAAAACACTAAATTAGATTGTTCTTAAGTCACATTTCCTTTTAAAGAAAACCATTGAATGGGTTTTTGAAGTTGTTTTCAAATGTTTGTTTAGAAATGAATTTTTTGTTAATATGGTTTGACATTTTGTTTAATTTATTTGATTCTTTATCATTACTTGAACAAACATTAACAGGGAAGAATGATGAAAGCATTTTTCAATGAAAGTGCAGATAGGTTCTTCAGGTTGTCATAAGGAGTTCACAACATGCATAGCGCTCAAAGATTGAGGGAGAAAAACTACTACATTCAGGACTTCTTGAGTATACCTTGGGGTTCAGCAGTAAGATAGTTTCACTGCCAGTCCTGAAAGTGCTTTCAAAGAAAAGGGGAGTGGAGAATGGCCTGAAGTATTGATATAAAGGAAAGGTATAGGTGAGGTGTGAGGTAGGCCTTGAGGAAACCTGAGGAAAGAGGAGGCATTTATTGCTGGTAAAGAAAATAACCTGTGGGTGAGAAAGAAGGCGGAACTAGGCATTATGAGTTTGAGAAATAAAGCCCACAGCCAGATAGAAGGGGGACTTGAATTGCTGCTGCTCCTTTTCCGTTTCCTTTTTTTATCCGTTCCTTTCAGCATCTAATGATAACATTGAGCTACAATGTTTTGAACAAATACGTTACTTAATTTCATTTAAAAAGCCCAGTGAGGTACAGATGAGGAGACTGACACTTAGATCATGTAACTTGGACGAGTTCATCAAGTGTGTTAGAGTCACAGCTGTTTTTTCAGTCTCCGTTTTTCTGACTCAGAGCAGTTCTTAGCCACTCTGTCCCTTGTGGCAGAGGTAGCAAACTGGTAGCCCATGTACCAAATCTAGCCTACACACTTACTTTATTAGATTAGCAGAACGTTAATTTTATTGTTATTGGTTTTTGTCTTTATTCCTCAAGGTAACAGTTGGCTAGAGCTGAGTAGTGGTAGATTGTCACAGTCCTTCTTGGCTGTGAAGCCTACTTCACTCATTTGGGCTACCTGCCTGCCCAGTCCTTTGTGAACCTGCCATCTCTCCTCTGGCATAAATCATATTTTCTTATAACTACAGTAGAATTGAGTTGATATTATTAGAGCTGACATTTGTGAAGTTTAAGTTGGTTTGTATATTTAAAAACTTATTGAGATAACATTTATCAAGAATTATAATTAATTCAAATGAAGAACTGATAGAACTTTTTATTTCTATAAAATTCTTAGACCTTTTCCGGTTTCAGTATTTTCTCAAACTGTCTTGAGTGATTTTTGCAATATGCAGGTATACGCTATCTTCTTTTCTCACTGAAGGAAATGTGTACGTGAGTGGTGTAATTAACTAGGCTATTAATAAGGATAATTAGTATGATATGTCACTTACGGCTTTCTAAATGGATGATCGAATGGTCTTTTTCCATATGCAGGTCTTGAAATGCTATAAGTCATCATTCATAATATCTGTTCATTATTACAGCAGTAACTGCATTTTGAGCTGTTAGGACAAAAATAAAAGTTATGTGTAACTTAGTTAAAGACATTTTAGAATTCAACTGGTGATTTTTATCTCCTAGGAGTTAGCATTTTTTTCTAGACAAATTATACTATTATTATAGATCAATGTATTGTGAAACTAGTGAGATGATAAATGTGTAAAAAATAAACTTCAGGGCTTCCCTGGTGGCGCAGTGCTTGAGAGTCTGCCTGCCGATGCAGGGAACACGGGTTCGTGCCCCGGTCTGGGAAGATCCCACATGCCGCGGAGCGGCTGGGCCCGTGAGCCATGGCCGCTGAGCCTGCGCGTCCGGAGCCTGTGCTCCACAATGGGAGAGGCCACAACAGTGAGAGGCCCGTGTACAGCAAAAATAAAATAAAATAAAATAAACTTCATTCATGGAGACTAGGAAGCACAGTTTATACGCTCAGAGAATAGCTCCCCTAACTCCTACATTGGCTAAACAACTTTTCTTTTTAAGGAAGTCTAGCTTTTCTTGGGGACTGGAGTTATTATAAATAAAAGGACCAATAAACCTAATTTATTTCGCAGTTCACTTTCATTTATATGAAAAGATACGCTTTTTATTCATGTTCTTAATCTGTCTGCTGCTTTGTCATTCCAAACTTTTTTCTTCAGAATTTCTCAGAGCAGGAATAAAAGATCAATAAAGCCATTAATTATGGCAGGATTAGTATTTAGAAATGAGTTGAAATCAAGTAGTCTGAAATTGCCGTAGCAGTGGTGTCTAGCTGCCATATCTGACCGTCAAGAGGTTTGTGTGGCATTGATTTTTTTGGTCACTTTCTCCACTACCTTGCCCCCCAACCAACTTTCTTGATGCTTTTGTAACTTCCTTATGCCTAAGTGACTTCTGAAACAAAGGAACAAAATCTCTGATTCTCAAATGCATTTATAAGTGACTGATAATCACGATGCTTTCTTCTTTAGCATATGGGCAGGAGAAAAATTAAACTTGTAAAGGCAGCCAAAACATGCTTTACACAAATGAGGTTTGGTCGGATGAAAGAGTTGGACGCACTAGTGTAGTCCTCTATTGTGTTTTAAGATTCAGTTGTTAATGAGCAGTTTTCTTTGACTCTAAATGAAAATGCTACATAAGTAGGTTGAGAGCCTGCAACTTAACATTACCTAGGATAAACCCAGCTTATCAGGTGCTCTGATTGAGGAATGAAGTTCGGATATAAATGATGGCCAGAGTGAGATTTTATATTGATGGTCTGGGGATTGTCATTTACCTGAGCATGTCTCCTTTTTGTCATAGAGCTGGGAAAGCAAAGTGTTTGCACCAGAGCTCTAGGGCAGCAGTCCTCAAATTCTCTGGTGCATGCCAGTTTTTGTTTAACTTCCATTCCATTGCAGAGCAATATACTTGTGGAAATGAAATACTAAGAAAATGAAGTGGAAAAAAGGCATACAGGGCTTCCCTGGTGGCGCAGTGGTTAAGAATCTGCCTGCCAATGCAGGGGACACGGGTTCGAGCCCTGATCCGGGAAGATCTCACACTCCCAGAGCAGCTAAGCCTGTGCGCCACTACTGAGCCCGCGTGCCACAACTACTAAAGTCCGCACGCCTAGAGCCCGTGCTCCGTAGCAAGAGAAGCCACTGCAATGAGAAGCCCATGCAGCACAGCAAAGAGTAGCCCCGGCTCGCCGCAACTAGAGAAAGCCCACGCGCAGCAACGAAGACCTAACACAGCCAAAAATAAAACAAATAATTTTTAAAAAAAAAGCATACAAAATACAAGCCCAAATGCAGTATTGTGAGATTTAACAGACATACAATTACTCCTATAACTGTAAATATCATATTGCTATAAAACTTTTTGAAGGCTTTCTCTCATTTCGTACTTTTCTTGTTACAGGCCAGTTTGGATTATAATGCCACATTTTTCATGTGTTGAAGCAGTTTAGATCCATAGATATGCAGATGAAAGTAGTGCTATTCTTACTTCAGTAAAGTTTTTAAGGTAATTAGTAATGCACTCATTTCAAAAGGAACTGTCTGAGACGGGTGGTGTCGGTCAAAATCAGTGTCACTGCTTGAGCAAAGCTGTGTAACATCCAGCTCTTCTCTTACATGACTTCATAGGATTGTTGTGAGGATGTAAGGAAATAACGAGCACAGGGCTTAGCACTGTATCTAGAACATAATAAGAACTTTAAAAAACACTGAGGATTATTCTCAGTACTAATTGTAAAAACTTTTTTAAGATTTTCATTTTTATAACTTTGTTCTAAATTATAATTTTTAAACCTTTTATTTTGGAGCAGTCTTCTATTAAGGGGTAAACTCCCCCCACCCCCAAATCACGAAACTCCTCAGCAATTTGGCATCCAAAAAGTCTTGTTTAGCGGTTGGCATTCCTGTTCACCATGAATGTTTCATTTGGAGAGGCCAGGGCGTTTCCTTTGGTCTCCCTGCTTTATAGTATTTTTCTTAGTAGTTAACTTTCTCTTCTTCATTATACTTATTCTCAGTTTAAGCTTTGTTTTGTTTTTCATGTGTTAAAGTTTTTATTTTGTGTCTAATGATAATAACTGACTCATTCATAATAAATCTCTTTGGCTCTTTGAGTTACCACCAAATCAAAGGTTTGTGTCTAAAGAACGAATTTGTTCAGTATGTTTTTTCTCTGACAATTGATTATTTTTAAAATAGATTTGACAAAGTTTCATTTTTAAGGACTTTTTGCAGTTTCTGGTGTATTAACCTTTTATTCTTTTATGGTAATACAATAGATTTTACAATTGTTTGGAATTTCATTTCTAAATTTTAGACTTTTGAAACTTTGAATTCTCTGTAGTTTATCCATATCTGGAAAGCAATCAGTAACTTTGTCTTCCCTCAGATTATTGTCTTATAATGTTATTGTCTCATAAGTATCTTTGCTTGATAAAGCTAAGTTTGAATCAAAGTCTAGGTGCAATCTGATTCAATATTATTTTCCTGAAAAAGTTATATGGATAAACATCATTGAAATTTATCTGCATAATAATATTAATAATA